GTTACTGAACAACTGGAAAACAATGGTGTGGCCAGCTGAAGGTGATCCCCTTTTGTACAGGTTGGGACAGGAACAACACCCTCTGCTTGCAGACAGGCCCAAGAGTCAGAGCAAACCCTACAGCTTGGCAGAAGGGGTCCAAAGAGGAGTTTTTAGGGTTTAAAATGTAGCACAGTATGGTAATGTAATTATTCTTATAGGCTGTGTGGAAATGCTATAGGATTTGTGTATTGTACTAGACTGGTTAGTGAGAATCAGAATATTCAGCACGGAAGAAGATTTACTATATTGTAACGGGAACCTTGCTCTCTTACCCTTTTACTCTCTCACCCTCTCATCCTCTCTCCCCCTCTCTTCTCTCGGGCCTGCTCTGAGCTGTGTCTGGCAGCTCCCAGCAGGGCCCTGCACCCAGGCCCTTTGCAATAAACCCCAAGTTCCAGACCTGGCTGCAGAGATCTCTCGTCTCCGTCCGTCCCCACTGTCCTACTCCCCAACATTCCTACAGTTATCCCAGAGTGCCACCAGTGGGATGACCGCTGGCTATGCCTGCTGTGGCCAGGAGAAGTCTGCAGAGCTTCCCGTAATGGGGACCCCTCTTCAAGCTCCAAGCTTGCTGTTTTTTTCCTCTGTTTTAAGGGCAGCCACACCACTGGAGTCAGTGTAAAAGATGCTTAGAAAACCAAAAAGAGGAGATTTGCCAAACTCCACAGTCATGCCTGTGGATGAGGATGAGGCAGTAGCAAGGGGAGAGAAGGGAAATGCCACCTGGAGAGAGCTACATCTTCCTGACAGTTATTAGTAGAGCAGAGATGGATTTTCAAAAGCTGCCTGGGAAATGGATGGTTTGGGGTATATGAGCCCTGGAAAGGCATGGAAATAAGGGACAAGAAAGTCTTGCAAGGATATTAACTCCTTGCACTTAGGAGTGTCAGCATCCCATTGCTGAGCACAACTGCCCCATCATTTGTAGTCAGTGAGCAGCAAGTGACATTTTTTGCTCTGTGCACAGCATTTTCCATAGTGATATGGAGCTCTGTTCTGGGTTTTTACTACTGAGAAGTGAACACAGGTGAGGCATCCTCATAGGAGCCAGTTATTTGTCCTTGATATCTGTAACAGCTTATTGCTTTATTTAGTGTGACATCAATTATTTATTACTATTAATGAAGGACACAGATGTCTGTCTGGTCAATAAAATATCTCCTACTCCACAGAGATGATGTACTTAGCTATCATTTACTCTGCAGAGAACCTTTGGATTCTTTCTGAAATTTAATAACACGAGCAAAGATACTCAGGCAATCTAGAAGGTTTGTGCTTCAGGGCTGCTTTGGGAGGCTGAAATCCTTCTTTATATTTGCTGGCGGGATGTGTGAGAACACAAGTCCAGATGGGAAAAAGAAGCCCCTTTGCTTTCCATCACGAGCTACTTATCCATGTAATCCCTTTTATAAAGTGATCAAACTCCTTCCTAAAAGATGGTTGGGTTATTTGCCCTTTGCAGAGTAGACCAACCATTTATCCATGTCCAATTTACATCCTCTGGCCATTACTGCCCATTAACCTAACTATTGCTTTTCCATCTGAGTGCCTACCCTGTGATGTGTTCACAGTCATGTGTCTCTGTTTGGCCTTTCCCCCCCCCTGTTTTTATTAGGGAATTTGGGCTTTTTGTCCTTTCCCTGTGAAATCTTCTCTCCTTCTTTTCCTGTGCCTTGCTCTTGAGCACAGTTGAGGAATGCCATGCACTGAGTCCTCATGTGGCCTCATGCAGCTGGGTCAGTGTTCTCCGGCTGCTGCATGATCCCAGGATCATTTTTTCTTGGTAGGGCAACATTACTGGTCAATCAAGTGGCCCAAGTGTCCAAAGCCAGGTTGGAGAGGGCTTGGAGAAACTTGGTCTAGTGGAAGGTCCCTGCCTGTGGTTGGGAGTGAGGTGAAAGGGGATGATCTTTCTTGTCCCTTCCAATCCAAACCATTCTCTGATTTATGATAATTCTCTCACCATTCCACCAAAAGCAGCAGTTACTTTAGCTCTGTTCCACTGACAAAATCCCAATATAAATCTAGGGAATAACTTGTTTTCTCCTCCTAAAGAAGGAAATTTCATTCCAGCTTCTCTCAGAACACTGAGGACTGAAGGGTCTCTGCCTTCTCTTTTGTGAGATGAACAAATACAGTCTCTGTGTGCCCTGCTTTTCCAGGGGAGAGCAGGGAATGGCAGCTCCTTGCACTGGCTGCAGGCTGACAGCTCTGGGAACCTGTCCTGTCCCCAGGGTGTGCTTTCCCTGTCTTTGCTCCATGGTTTGTGATCTCACTGCTGCTTGTTCAGGTACAGAAAAACTCCCAGCCTTGGGGCTGAGCTTCCAGCATCTTTGTTAGCATCTATTTTCTTGTTTTCATAAAAACATCTTTGCTTTGCAGACCCAACAAGAGAGGAGAGTTCCCCAGAGGTTCGGGACTGAGCAAAAAGCACCCTCTTGCTTTGAGGATTTTATTGCAAGGGTTTTGTCTCAATCCAAGTGGAGACACTGTTGGCAGACCCTGCAATCTTCATTTCCTCCTGTGCAGGGGGGACAGAAATGCACTCCATTCCCTGAGCAGGTCTGATCCATGGCAAACCAGACCACTGTGGGACACACACCTGCTGCTGTGTGTCAGAGCAGTGCTCCCTGCCAGCCTGTTCCCTCAAAACTACCCAGGAAGACCGTGGAAGAGGAGCTTTCAGATGTTAGTGCATGTCCTAGACAAAGTTAGCTGTGCAATTTTAATCATAGAATGGTCTGTGTTGGAAAGGACCTGAAAGATCATCTCATTCCACCCACCCTGCCTTGGGCCAGTCCTGCCCTTCCACCAGACCAGGTTGCTCCAAGCCCTGTCTAACCTGGCCTTAACACATTCTTTGAGTCAGTGGTTGCACATGACATTTTCCATCTCATTTCCAGTCTCCTGCAAGTCTGGTTCCACCCTCTCCCAGTCTCATCCCTTGTGCTCCCTGGCACAGATATCCTGGCTGATCCTCCTACCTGGGGGCTGCCCAGCCCAGATCTTGGACTCCAGGTCCCCCTGGCCTCACCCAGCTCTCACTGCAATCTCTTCCCAGCTATTTTCTCTCCTAGCCATCCTCAGCTGCTTAGAGGAAGGTGTGAGATCCCACAGCATTCATCCATGGGATGATCTGTCCCCCCATCTAGCTTCTTCCTGCTCAGAGGGGAAGTTGCTTGAGGCTGGAAGAACCTTAAAGCCCTTTGCTCTACTTCAACAGCACATTCTGGTCCTGAATTGGTGATTCATCAGGTTTGTAAGCCATGGCAGAGTCTGTTCCCAATGACTCCTGGTGACAGGGAGTTCCCCAATCCAGCCCAATGCTGTAGGAAAAGGGATGGAAATGAAAATTGGAAATGAGTAATAGGGGTTTGTTTGTTTGCTTAAACCATAAACCCACAGCTGAGGGACTTGTTGAAGGCTGGGCAGCACTCGTGACTTCCAGGCAGGGATTTTCCTGCTGCCAACCCAACCTGCCTGAGTTGTCTTGGGATTTGGGACAGACCTGGGTCCAGGAGCTGGGCTGAGCTGCAGAGACTGGTGACAGACCTGCCTGAAAAAGTTTGGAAAGAACAAGTCGTGCTGGGAGCATTAAAATGAATAATTAAGGCTTGGATTCCTTCAGGGAGGAAAAGAATTTATTGCTGCTCTTTTCTCTGGCCAAGGGGGATATTTGTTACTGAGTTGTGTGCTTTGAGACAAGACGCAAATGCGGTTTAGGGGGCTGGGGATGGGGGGATTTTTTCTTCTACCTGGATAATTCAGCTTCACAGTGGGATGTTCTGGGCTGGTTACACCACTGGTTTCCTTAGGGTCTGTACCAAGAACTGGTGCTTCATTTCAGTGCTCCTCAGTCACTTTTGCCATTAGAAAAAACAAAAGTGCTGAGAAGGGAATTCTCCTCCTCCCTCTGCTGCAATGTCTTGACATTTCCACATGCACAAGATACCCAGCACAGCAATCTGGGCCCAGCTTGGCTTTCACTAGCACAGCTATCACCTACAGCAGCCTTGCCCCTATTCCCACCACTGGGAACAGGGCACAGCCTGGGCAATGCTCTGTCTTATTTTCCTCCGTGGTACCTCAGGCTTTCAGTTACACCAGTGTGAAATGGGAATTAAATGCAATGAGCTCTAACCAATAGACAGGCTGCCCACTGCGAGGAGACAGGTCGCACAGCAGTGGACAGTCATGCCCAAAAACCTTAATAAATGGAGCATTTTCAGTTTCAGCTGGGCCATGATCTGAGTGTTTAATAGGCCTTATAAACCAGAAGACTAAAAAGAAAGATTTTTCAGTATTTTTAATTAGTGTGTTTTTTTCTTTGAGTGCTTATAAAAAAAGCAAGTGTTCTTCAACATGACTGAAGGAGATCCAGTCAGAGCTCCAGGAGCTGGAAGAGTGCAGATGAAAGGGAATGCAAAGCTACTGGGTGTCATTAAATTAAATAAAAAAATAAAAATAAAACCATCACATTCAGAGAAATTCTACCCAAGCACTAAAAATGTATTTTTCGCTGTTAATCCAGCATAGCAGAAACACCTTTTGCTGTGGCAGGTAATGTTTGGAAAAGGCCATGCTTAAGAGCTGGACATGCAGCAAGGGCAAGGATCCTTGTTTAGCCAGGCTTCCAAATTTTCTGTATCCCAGCTCTGGGTGGTGTTTCTGCAGTGTCTGCAGTGAGGCCACACGTCCCCTCTGTGCTGTGATTGCAGCTGGCCATGCAGTGACACAGCCCTGGCCCCCATCCCTGCACAGCTGGTGGCCCAGGTGTGTTTCCTCCTTGCTTTGCCCACAGGCGACATTCTCCACACAGACCTTGGACATTCCACAGCCAGATGGAGTTTGCTGATTGCGTGTCCTGCACAGAGATGTTCCTTCAGTGATTTTAAAGTGGTCAGCAGTAATTCACACCTGTGTTGATGTCTGGTCTTGCTCCTCTCTTTGCTCTGCAGGAGAATCCTTGAGCTTTGCAGATGATTTGCTCTCTGGCCTGGCAACCTCCTGCGTGGCAGCGGGTCGGAGCCACGGAGACGTCCCTGAAACCAGCCTCTACTCAGTCATTTTCAAGTGCCTGGAACCAGATGGTCTGTACAAGTAAGGAGAGACACGTGGGGAGCTGCTGGGGGCAAGGAGGGATCTCCAATGCTGTTATTGAGTTGTTATTGACCTTTTTGGTCAGCACCAGACACAGGGCAAATGGTCAGACTCTGCCTGATGCTCTGGGTGTTACACACAGCTGGTAAAATGGAAAGGAACTGTCTGCCAGTGCAGTGCTGGAGGCACTGGGAGTCTGTGGGACACTCCTGGATAACTCCTACTTTCAGCATTCTGGGTTTCCAGGTCCATGCCTGGTGGGCAGGGTTGTCTCTGATGGATGAACTAAGCTGATGTGGTCAGATTGGAGCAAGTTGCCAAGTGCCTGGTGGGATGAAATAGATGTCAAAAGTGTGACAACATGAAATAGATGTCAAAAGGGTTTATAAGTTGCTGTTTCTCTTGGTAGGACATATTTGAGACCAGAAAGACACCAAATCCTTCTGCCCGCTGCCCACATATTGTGGACATTTGACTCTTCTGAGATACTTTTTGGGGGTTGAATTTTCTGTTTGAATCTTGTGGATTCATGAGTTTCCAGAGCAAAGGGATAATATCAAGATCTGAATTTTAACTTCTCCTTTAGAAACATTTGGACAGGGTCTGGGCTTTCCAATCTGGCTCATTAGCCAGGGCATCCTCTGTCTTGAGAGGGATATCAGGAGTCAGATCAGTAAGAGAGGAAAAACAGAGCAAAGAGGCAAGGAGACAGGGGAGAGACAGAGTGAGCAAGAGAGAAACACCCAGGGCTTAATGTCAGAGTGACTGCAATAATTAAAACACATTTTGTAGTGAGTAATGAAACTTTTTATGGGACCACAAAAGCATTTAAAGTGAGAGCTGGCAAATAGTCTGTCAGCGAGAACTTTTTAAGACCTTGATTAATACTTTCCCTCCACCACCCCCCAGTTAAGTATGTTGACAGCCTCCAAAGCCTTTATTGCACATCCCTGGAGCAGGGCTGTCTCCAGGAGTGGGCTCCAAGTGGTACCCCTTGCCATTTAATAATATCAGACATTTTCTTGTCGAATATCTATAATGCATAAATATAATTATTTATTTCTCTGGGAACTGGGCTGCTCTGAAAAGGTGCCAGGGGAGAGGCTGGAACAACCACAGAGCTTGCTAGTAACCCAACTCCCATAAAACTGGCCTGTTGTGAGCTCCCAGCTGCCAGGGGCACTGGGACAGGGAAGAGCCACTGGTTTTGATGGAGGCTGCTGCCGTGGTGAGCACACAGAGCTGGGAGCCAGCAGGTCTGGCTCTTGGGCAGCCTGGGCTGCCAAGGCATCCTCCCCATCTGCCAGGCAGGGGTAATTGCACTCACCCGTCACTTTAGGGGCTCTGTGAGCTAATTCCTGCTGTCTGCAAAGGGCTGGGAGAGCCTTGGGTGGAAGGCAGAGGGCTTTGTGCAGGGTTTTGTCATCCCTGTGGTCAAAGGCAGTCTTGTGCTTCTATCCCAGCCCCAAGGCACATTGCCACGGAGGTGGTCAGCAGAGCTGGCGGTGCCCTGTGCCCTGGGCATGGGACAGCAGCTTTTGTGGGGAGCCAGGGCTGCAGGCAGCCAGCAGGCAGCTGTCCCCTGGCACCAGGGAGCTCTGGAGCTTGTCCTGTGTGGGGACAGCCCCAGGGTGATGCACAGCTCTGGCTCTGTCCCACAGCAGGGCTCGGCTCTCTGCTCCCGGGGCAGTGCATATGGATGGGCACATGTGCCTCTGGCACCTTGGGGCACAGGCCCCTATTCCTGGGCATCCAAAAATTCAATTGCATGTGGGCACACCACAGCACCCCCTCCTTGCAGGCTGCTGCTGCCTGCCCCAGCACGTGGCATGGACTGATGAACCCGTGCTCCATCCTGTATGCCCAACACACACCCTCCTGCTCCAACCTGGGCCCTGCTCAGCATGTTTACTGAGTATTCTCAGCTACACAGGAACCCCCATTAAATATTCCTCTGCTCAGATGTCCCCAGGGTGACACACAGCTCTGGCTCTGTCCCCCCACAGCAGGGCTTGGCTCTGCACTCCTGGGGCAGTGCACACAACACACATGGATGGGCACATGTTCCTGTGGGGCACCTCTGGGCACAGACCCCTGTTCCTGGGCATCCAAAAACATTGCATGTGGGCACACCCCAGCACCCCATCCTTGCAGACTGCTGCTGCCTGCCCCAGCACTTTGTATGGATTGATGAACCCCTGTTCCATGTTGGCATGAGCTGATGTGGGTCCTGCCTGCCCAACACACACCCTCCTGCTCCAACCTGGGCCCTGCCCAGCATGTTTGCTGAGCATTCTCAGCTACACAGGCACCCCCGTTAAATATTCCTCTGCTCAGTTGTCCACCCAGTTGCAACACAGCGTGAGGAAAGCCAGAGCAGTGAAATGTGAGGCTAACGCTGCTCTGCGCCCGCACAGACAGAACAACAACACAAACACGGGCACGGGGTCATTTCTTAAATTGAATTTCTTCTGCTTGTTTCATTTGTTTCTGTGGAAAAATAGCTATCTATAATAGCTCTGGGCTGGGTATAATCCTGATTATAGCCACTCGCAGGGCTCTGTGCTGTTCTCTAGGCTGGGAGGTAAGCACATAGTCTCCAGCATCAAAAACAAATTATTTGCTTCTGCAGTAGTCTGAGGGTATCACATAACCCTAGCAAGGGGACTGGGAGGTCATGGAAGTCTCTTCTGCCCTGTAAATGTGTCGAACATCCTGTCCTTTTCTTCTGTAGTACCTACAGCAATTACACTCTGCTGTGGACCATTCATTTGGAGTACTACCAGCCTGAGATCAAAGCTGGGCTGGAGTATAAAAACAAACCCAAAAAATGTTCTACAAGCAAACAAATAAACAAAGTCTGATTGATTCCTTTGCTTTTAAGACTTCTGTAATTCCAAAACATAAATGAACAAAAGGAGAACTAATTTCTTTGTCCTTTGCAGTTTCAGTCTGAGGAAAATATGTTGCCTGACAGCCCTTTTTCTTTGCCTTTAACACATTGGGGCTCAGATGCCAGTCCTTCCATAGAGGGTTTTACAGGGCAAGTAGATCATGTCAACAATGACACATGCTCCAAAGGCTTGTGTACATGTGTGGACTATCCTCAGTACCCATGCCACACCACACACAGGTGCCCATCCATGGAGATCCATGCTGAATTCATGGGAATGTACCCCAGGTATCTATACATGGGTACTGAGGATGGTTCGTGAAGTTTTGCTGCAGTTCTTAAAAAGCAGAAATCTTATATTCTTGTGAAATGGAGAAGGAATTGCTCTCCCCTGAGGTCAGCTGGACCAGAGCTGTCTGTCAAGCTTCCCCCAGGTGGATCTGGAAGAGGATGAGGTGAGGAGGGCAGAGGGAGAGATGTTGATGTGTCCATGAAGTGCTCACCTTGCGTGAAGCAGCCAGCCTGGACAGCAGCCAGTGCCACTCAGATGGATGGCTTGGGAGCCTTGGGAGCACCAGACTTTGACAGGCAGCTTGTGATGAACCAAAACCAAAACAACAGCGAGGAGGAAGGGCTCTGGCTTGTCTCAAGATCAAACTCAGCTTGGGGGACTGAGCACGCCACAAACCCATCCAATCTCTTCACTGAGGAGGCAGGAACTTCCCCTGGGCACCCCACAAACCCATCCAGTCTCTTCACTAGGAGGCAGGAGCATCTCCTAGGCACCCCACAGCCTCCCTGAGCCTTCATCCCAGCTCATCCATCTCAGCTCTCACCCCATTGCTCAGGGAGTGCCTGGGGATGCCTCATGGCTGAGCTCTACCTGCTTGGCTACCACAAGGCAGCTTTGAAACCCCAGCACGTTTCCTTCAGATGCTTGGGGAGACACCAAGCATCCCTCTGCCAAAAAGGGAAATTCTGGAAAGGGAAATGAAAACCCCCTCCAGCTCCTCAATGGAGCTGCAGTGCAAACACACCAACCTCTTCCCTACGCCACAGATACTATAATTATAGATTAGATTAAATCCCAATGTTTCACTTTATTTACATTCCTGACCTAGCCTATTCATTTCCAGTGTTTGTGCCAAGAATCAGCACAAAATTTACTGGAAATAATATGGAAGTCATCAGGATTCCTTCCAGAGCCTTTCCTTGGAGTGTGTTCATATGCTGTGAAGAAGCCTTTACATTCCCTCTGCTGGCTCAGATGGGGTTTCCCCAGGGTGATCATGAACCAGCCCAAAGCTCTGGGAGAGCACGTTCCAGGGGTGTTGGAAAGGTGGAAACCTCTTCCTAGGGGTTGAAGATTGAGGACTGGGCAGAAGGGGATTCAGTCAGAGCTCAGAATGACAACACGAGGCTCCCATCTGCAGCCAGGACACACCAAGTCCTGCCCAGGCAGTGCCACCCTCTGCAGGGTCTGCAGGCCATCGACAGCATGGCCAGGCTCAGCTTGGGATAACATGGAACATCCCTTTTTTGGTGAGCTTAAGTAAAAATTCAGAGGTGTAGAGCAGGGAGAGCCCATCAGAGCATGGAGAGGCTGCAATCCCACAGGCTGAATGTGCTGAAGGAGCTGGCCCAGAGCAAGGCTGACTAATGCAGAGTGACCTCTGCCATGTGCATAGCTGGGATAAAAAGGGGAACAGAAAACCCTTGGTGCTCAGGAGTGTGTTCATGCTGGCAGCAGTCCCCTGCTCGTTACATGATGCTAATTGTTGTTGTTGGTTTTTCGTCAGGGAGACGCGTGAGTGAGTGTCACAGACATCTTTTATG